AATCAGAAAGTTTGTTTGAAGTTATTATCTATGGTATCACTTATCAGATTAAAAGAAACAAACTTCCCACCTGAAAATCTATCATAATACAGTATCATAAATCCACTCTTTTAAAATATCCTTTTCAATAAGCTGTATTTCATCACAAATCAGGATTTTTCTTTGAATGGAACAGAAATATGAATTGAATATCACTTTTCAAGGCTTCAAACATACCCTGGAAGCCGTCCCACACAATAAAGTAGGTGCACACAGCCAGGCACGATACCGGGATGGTAGTAAAAAAAAAACGTCATTGGGGACCATCGCAATGCATCATCATTAGGCTTCGTCGTTAGGCATTTATTTGCTTGATGAGCATTTTCATCTGTGATAATAATCCCTGGCTTATCATCACACCTTGGGATAATCTCTAGGGTAGACTCATCGATAATTGCTCCCTCTTTCTCTCTCTCTCTCTCTCTCTCTCTCTCTCTCTCTCTCTATCTCTCTCTTCCCTTCCTCCATCTCTGCCTGTCTTTCTTCCATCCATTTCTCTTTGCTCTCATCTCACTTCTCCAGTTTAGATCCATTCACACAAAGCACAATTAGTGAGATTGAAAAGTTCACTTTTGATTTGTATCTTGCTGTCTTTTGCTGGTGAGCCACAAGAAATTTCACTAAATACTGAAATACGTGATATACACTCTTCCTTCTGACACATGTTTCATCATATGACACCCCATTCTCTTTAAGCTCAGTGTGAGTTCCTTGAACATCATTTCATTCTACAATTTTATTTCTTGTGTGAATGCACCCCAACCTTCATCATTCCATGAATGACCATCAATTTATAATGAAGATTCTCCATGGCTTTCAAATCCATTTTCCAGCTGCTACATCAGAATTTCAGGGGTCTTGGAGTCGGCATCCACTTAAACTTGGTAATTTTACTCTTGGGTCCTTTCCTATTTAAATGGTGATGGTCAGAAAATCTTCAAAGCATGGTTTGCATGTAACTTAATTTTAGGGGCTCTGACGCAAAAGTGTTATGAATGGCAAGATAGCAAAGAAAAATAGAAACTGACTAAAAAATGAAATTTGTGGATAGTTTTAGTTTCAATTTAGCATTTCGTTATATCTTAGTCACTCTACCATCTGACTCTAATCCTGCTATTTGGGGTATTGTATTGTATTTATGTATTTATATATATATATATATTTTTTTTTTTTTTGGGGGGGGGGGGGATCTTTTTGTTGCTCTGGCATTGGCCTTATCCATGTGACTATGGTATAAAAGCACTTGTGTGTACAAAATTAGAGAAACAAAAGAAGAGTATTTTTGCAAACTATTTGGTGATCATTTTCCTTTAAACGACATGTTCTTTTTGTTCTATTTATGGAGATAGTACATGCATCCATAAAGAAGTATCAATTAAATGCTAGTGTTTTTTTTAAAGTCTGATTGGTTAAACCAACTGGTGTCTCAGTAATATACTTAAGTAATCATGTAGGTGTGAGGTCTGAAACACAAGGCTAGCCTCATAATAAACACTATATGGCTTAATTCAGGAGCCTTTGTTGCTAATAGTAATTTTACGGTTCACTTCCGCCCGGTGTCAAAATATTAGCTGCCAGACTGAATAGTCAAATCTATCAGAGCCCCTTTGCCCTTTCTTTAGAGCGTGACATTGGATGAGAGGGAATATTTTGTTGACGTGTATGCAATGCATATTGATATTGACGATGGTCAATTGCATATTTGTGAGGTAGAAGAATTCAATTACCCGGTGAGGAATGCTGAATTAAAATGCACTGATGGGGTATTTTATTCAGAGATGTGTTCCTACTTCCTTCCATAGAGCATGCAGAGTATAATGTAAGTGTTTATGATCAGTATTGGTTTATATTTTTAATAAATTTCAGTTTCTGCTTATTGAATTTGAAAAAAAGGAAATATTAGGAATGTAGAATGTTATCCGTAGTAGATGTGAAATTATTCTATAAAACATCAAAAATAATAATAAAAAGAAACAATTTTGTGTATTTTTCAAGATAGACAATACTGCACTGTACACTTTAGTTTTGCTTGATTGTGTCATACTTCTGTTGTACACTCTAAGGTTATCTTAGGAAATTATAAGGAAGCAAATAATTTGCAGATCAATAACAGTTTGCATTTTTAATTGTGAAGCAAACCAGACGTGGCCAGTTGTTGAAAATGATATGTAGGCATCAGCCCTGGATGTTATGAATATTGTTTTTATGCCTCCGCCACCGAAGGTGATAGTGTGTATCACTATAGGAAAACAATCTGATTACATTTTGGAGCACGTAGGTCAAAGGTCAAGGGTCATAGAGGTCAACTTATGAAATTCCATACATTGAGATTGTTATCATGATATCTCAAGAACCACTGGAGATGTAAAAACTTCAAACTTAAGGATAGTATGTATCACCATAGGAAGACGATCTGATTAGATTTTGGAGCACGTAGGTCAAAGGTCAAGGGTCACAGAGGTCAACTTATGAAATTCCATACATTGAGATTGTTATCATAATATCTCAAGAACCACTGGAGATTTAAACTTCAAACTTAATGATAGTGTGTATCACCACAGGAAGACAATCTGATTAGATTTTGGAGCACGTAGGTCAAAGGTCAAGGGTCACAGAGGTCAACTTATGAAATTCCATACATTGAGATCGTTATTGCGATATCTCAAGAACCACTGGAGAATTTTCACTTTAAACTTAATGATAGTATGTATCACCATATCATAATATCTCAAGAACCACTGGAGATTTAAACTTCAAACTTAATGATAGTGTGTATCACCATAGGAAGACAATCTGATTAGATTTTGGAGCACGTAGGTCAAAGGTCAAGGGTCACAGAGGTCAACTTATGAAATTCCATACATTGAGATTGTTATCATGATATCTCAAGAACCACTGGAGATTTAAACTCCAAACTTGTTTAAATTGCTCTATGGCGGAGGCATCATTTTCGACTGCGCGCAGTCAAAATTTCATCTAGTTTTTTATGTTGTTTATATTTTCATGCATTGATTTTCCGGTCTATACATCTCATAATCTTCTTGCTGTGTACCATTTGTACGTATGGTATAATTACTCGATAAATATGAAAATAGAAAAACTAGCATCTTTCCTACATTATCTGTGCATGTTGGCTCGGTATTGACTCCATACAAATTGATCTCAAAATCGAATGTTGAAAACGGAGAGAAAATTGTTGGCTTTTTCTTTATAGATAGGTGTAAAAGGGCAAATTATTTCCCAATTACAAATTGTATTCTCGTATTCTCCGTTTGATCCCTCTGCAAGCACTTCCCACACAGAGAAGAAAAGTAAGTGTGGATGAGTGTGTATTATGTGCAACTGTTACACGTACACGTAGGAAGCCGTTCAAATTGACATTATGAATAAAGTGTTGGGTTGCATTTCAAGAGTATTGAGAGGGCGGATGTTGACTCACTCTCTCTCTCTTTCTCTCTCTCTCACTCTCACTCTGTCCCTTGGCTTTCTCCTTTATCTCCCTGCTCTCCCTCGCTGTCTCTCCTTCTCTTTCCTCACCCTCTGTCTCTCACTCTCTCTCTCTCTCTTCCTTTTCTCTAACTCCTGCTAGGTCTCTTTCTCCCTATTTTTCCTCTCTTCTCCCAACTTTTCTCTCTCTCTTTCTCCCTCTTTCCCTCTCTCCCTCTCCCTCCCCCTCTCTCCATCTATGCAAATTTGGTTCATACATGTATATTCCAGCAATAATTGAAGCACTACCTATAGAAAAATTGCAGCGAAAGGTGTTGAGAGGGAGGAAGCTAGGCACCGGGGGGAAGGACAAAGCAGTGCGGATGCTAAATTCATGGTAATGCGGACTTGACACCTGCGGATCGTATGATGGCTGTCCAGTGCTTAAACCTGTAACCGAATCTTATACTCGTAGAAAAAAAACCACGCTGCCCTCGTGTTGCGTTGAATGCCTCACTCTATCTCGGGGAGGCCCGGAGCGGTATTGCGTCTAATGTACATTACATGTGTTGCCGTGACGATTTTATTACATCAGGGTTCCTAACTTGGATTGTTCCTTCCTGCAATTTACATATGATTTGCATTTTACTCAGTTCTGTCGGCGTTAGGACACTGTAGGGCTGACTGGCAATACTTCTCTGCACAAAAATAGGAATTACATGATATGGGGACCTACAGGTACTCTATATTACAAGTTGTTTATTGTCAAATCTTCAAGCCACATATATTTAGGCATTGCAGTCATGCTGTAGAAGATGAATTTATTTATGATAAATAGGTTTATAACTGAATGATGTTAGTGTGCACATGTACATGTCATGCATTTGTGCTTTCTTTTCAAATGTATGAAAAACTTTGAAATGTATTTAAAGGGAGCTTTTTCTTATGTTCTTATATTTTGAATTTATATATTTGTTCAAGCTTTAGGTCTTCCAGATTATACTTATAATCCCTATAATCTAAAACACTTATATATTTGATATGAAGAAAAGCAATTTGATTACATGTACAGTATATTAATTTCATGTCTATAGCTGTGTAAAAGCAGTCTGCCAGCAGTCCACTAATCTTTGCTCAGCATAAAACCCTTGATTTCCTTCCCAAATAGACTATTGACTCTGTCTCTTGCATGTTATCATTGCTATGCATCTTTTACTCTCACATCTGTTTACTTTGAGGTCCTCCTACTTTCTCTTTTCCTCGCACCACTCTCTTACTCTCACCCAGTTTCACTAAACACACACGCACGTGAGTAGCACACTTGTCCATTCCAGGCATTTTCCATTTAAGCAAACCCTAGACGTGTCGTAGCATTCTCCCAATTCTCTCCCTACCTGCGAATGCTGCCTGGTTTGAGAAACATTCTGGTGCATGAGACAGAAATTGCCCTAGGTGACTTTTTACTATAAACATTATTCCTCTTCTTCGTCCTGTGGGATATTGATGAATTTGATGGTTTATTTTCAAATTTGCAGGTTGCACCTGTAAGAAGCCCTTCCAGGCTTGCTGCTTTTTCCGAGCAGCGTCGTCTCCATTATAGATCGTGGATCGAGACGCAAGCCTGCCTCGTTTTATGCCTCAACTGACGAGATAGTCGATTCCTTGTCTCCCTCAGTGAGTGAGCTGTTTCTTTCACGGGGATTGATGTGTGCAGTTGAGTGAGGAGAGTGTCCTGAGTCAACAAGCCAAAGAGTAAGTATTGCTTTTGCTTTGGAAGATAACAAAACAGCCATTTTGTAGATAAAGAAGCCATCAGTGCAACAAGTGAAGGAAATGTACTGTGCTGATGTTTATTTTCATTTGCATTTACCATTTAAATAGTTGCCAATGTGTTTTTGATTGAAAGCTATTTTGTTTGGAGCACTGGTGTATTGGTGAAGACACTTGTCTTGACTGTCAATCATATGGGAGGCTCTTGGTTTGATCTAGTAGTTTGATCCTTGCTCATTGTTTTTATCCTTGGACAAGGTGTTTGGCCCACATGTGTCCCTCTTGACCTAGGTGTAGTAAATAGGAGCCTGGCAATACTGGTGTAAAAATAATACCAATGAGGTCATATTCGTAATGTATTTAAATATAATGCAACTTCTGTTTATATACAACAAATTGTATTTCAATATCAGAATGCAATTGCATACGTTTTGTGTTGTAAGGTTGGACGAGCATTGTCTGCCTAACATAGCAGCGTCCAATATATGCAATTTGCATTCTGACTATTTAGATACAATAATACATGTAAATGTACTAGCTCATCGCTAGGTAAATCGGCAAATCTTATTTGAATACATTTTGAAAACAGTTGATTTCAAGGCCCTCAGGAGAAGCACTACTAATGAGGCTGCACGTACCCAGGCTGAATAAGACCATGCTATATTTTCATATTCATCAAAAAGCAGTATGGTATGTCTTTGCATTGTAAGCTGTTATGTTGTGTCTTCATTAACAGGGTATTGGCAAGTAAATTCCTTATGCAGGTATTAGGAAAACTATGCTAATGCCTTATTACGATGTACATATATTCTATAGAAAGAGCATTGTAAAACAGATCTGTTATACAAACGCAATTTATATGTAAATATTTCATGCAGGTAGCGTTTCTGTGACCTGTTGCAAAACGAAATGAGGGCATATATGAACACCCATGCTACATGTATGTAAGAAAAACAGTTCAATGATTTTAAGGACATGGAAAATGTGTCTACAGATGCAGTATAATGAGAACAGCCGGAGGGGCAATAGCCACCTGCACAAACAAGTCCATTAGGATGTACATAATCCATCTGGAGAAAATTACATTACAATTTACATATTCACACACACAGAAAAGATGCGTTTTGAATGATGATTTTGTTGTTTGTTTGTGCTTATTCACACATCTTGAAGGAAAAAAAGTTGTTTATATTGTCTTGATCAAACTAAAATAATAGAAAATATTGTTAGTTATTCACATATAATAATTTAGTTTTGGGGATTAGGATTTAAATCTCAGTTAAGAGGATTTGTAATTTATAATACAGTTTGTCCATACATGGAACAACAAAAACCACACAAAAAACAATACTATATTTAATCTCATTACACAAACAATATTTCTTATCTCACCTTAATCACAGTCAATAAACACGGCAAACATTCAGTCTCATACTATTATCTCAATATTTTGTGGTATTTATACATGCACATGTGCATGGAAGAAAAAAATGGCAAATCATGATATAAAAGAAAAGTATTATAATCCCACTAACTGCACTATATACATGTACAGTACATGAATAAGTGACAGGCCGTAATGTAAGCTTTTCCAGTGCATTTCTACCGCGGCTTTGAGCTAGGAGTTGAAGATGTTTTCGTTGCGTGAGGCACATCGCATCTTGTTGGATCCGGTGGCCTAGATGTTTAGGCATCATCAGCATATTGGGTGATGAAGCATGGTAGGTGTTTAAACAAGCCATGATGGTGAGGTGAGAGAAGAGATCTGGAGGTGGAGGAATTTTAAGGAGATCTTATATCCCTGTTAGATTTCTGACAGCTATATTACACCGTACTACTAAAATACAAGCTTATATTACAAGTAAATATTTTGAATGAAAACCTACTTTAGCTGCGTGTATTTACCCCAAAAGATTGATTTCCATCAGGAAAGAACACTGCTTCAGTATAGCTAAACCACAATCTAGACTTGTATATTTTGTACAGTGTAGATCTAATTGGTTTAATCACCCCCTCCGAAAAACAAAAACAAAAAATAAATAAAAAAAGTAAATAAAAAGATAAGAAGTTGTTTTATGCTTTAATAGATGATGATGTTATTGCATTGTTTTTTTCTTTTGGGGATTTTGATGAAGAGAGGGAGAGACGCTGTGTGAAAATGATGCATATTAAATGTACATAAAGATAGATATGTAAACATCACACTAGATTGTGAATAGAAAGATATCATAGATAGAACGTGTCTCAAATAATATACAAGAGTTGAACGTATGACGTAAATGTCCCCCCAACTATGTTCTTGATGGATTTCTATTTTGAAATCTGATCCGTATCTCCGTAGGTATGTCCATCTTTAGTAGATATGAGGTAATTGTACCTAGTCATTTAGATGGCAGCCCCCTCCCTCAGGAGACCCCTTTCAGGCTGGTGTCTGGAAAGTGGAAAGTTCAATTTATTTGTCTGTTTGGGTGATTTGATGGTTTATTGAGCCGGATGATGGCTCGAAATAGCAAATTGTGTTGCGCTTGGAAGACAAGCTCTATTGACATTTCTCACTCAATTCGTTGCCTGGTTGGATTTTGCCCCTATACCAAGAGATGCGGTGAAATTAGATTACATGTGTTTGCTATCCAGGGTGGACGTACATAAGGCTGGAGAGAGAGAGAGAGATGGAGAGGGAGGGAGATATGTAAAGAGATTGAGAGTGAATGATAAACATAATGAGAGGAGAAAAGAAAGACAAACATATTTACAGAGAGAGAGAGAGAGAGAGAGAAAGAGAGAGAGAGAGAGAGAAGCAGAGAGAAGTAGAAATAGTTAGTACTGCAGATATTTTATAGATGCTTCTAAGACACAATTGCACTTGGCCAATTTTCTAGTTACAGAATTCTTGATTTCGATTGGGGATGAAACGCTCTACCTAATCCTAACCCTAAAGCAAATCTAAAATCTAAATGGGTTGCTAATCTTTTCTTTTCGACAAAAGCACCTGCAGCAACTCTCCTGGGTGCAAATTCTGGGTCGTTTTTTGTAAAGTGGCGAAGAAAGAAGCATTTTAAAATCATACCCAGGTACAAGGTTAGTTAGGATCAATGGAGAGAGAGAGAGAGAGAGAGAGAGAGATAGAGTGAGAAGGGGTGGGGGTGGTAGACATAAGCAGGTGTGAAACACTAAAAGAAAAAAAAAATAAGTGAACAAAATAAGTATATTAGACAGTGAAGGCAGCAAGAATATGAAGGCACCAGCGCAGCAAGTCCAAGGCAAGAAGAGACAGTGAGTAAGGATGGGAGAGAGATAGAGAGTGGGACAAATTTGATTACTGTAATGGGTCTGGTGTGATAATGGTTGAATTCAATTCATATGGCATCTGAATGGGATTGAGAAGGGCACGGCCTGCCCAGCATCAAATTGATATAGCCACAGTGTGTTACAGTTGTGAGTCTAGGGGGAAACAGGTGCATCGGAAACAGATTCTGTGTAAAATTCAACTAAATGTACATTAAAATCAATATTTGTACAATTAAGCACTTTTTGTCTAGTGGGAAAGGTGAAAAAGGTGCTATATAAATTTCAACTATTATTATTTTTGTATAGGTTTATGATAAATAATGTCTTTTTATTCCGATTGGATACAAGTTTCAATGGCGGATGTGTTTGGTGAAGAAATTTAAGATGAAATCATTACTATCTGTTTATGTATCTTTTTTTTTACTTCTGCAATTCTTGGATTCATATGAAATTGAAAAGGCAACCAACATTTACATACATGAAGTATGCAGAATGTTTTGCTGTTTCTGCTCCTCATGCTTTCGTATATTTTTCAAAAGTTAGTGTTTGAGCCAAAACCTTAAAATGATACACTTGTCATTCATGTGTATTATTTGAAATCTCAGGTTTCTCAAGTTCGTCATGTTTTAATTGATTAGTACTAGCATTAAACAACACCTGGAATTGTTTTTGCTGATTGTCTGAGTCACTGTGAGGCCACGATCTCACGTCATGACCTAAGATCAATAATTATGTGAATCATCAACGAGCTAGAGGTAGCCACAGTGTTCTTGTTGCTCTATCATCCTTGCATATTGTTTGAAATCCCATCATTGTCAAGTTTATCTATGGTTCAATCTCTTCGCATCAGCATTAAACAGCATCAGAATACTCTCTTTCTTATTGTCTGCGTCGCTGTGAGGCCATCATCTCAAGTTGTGACCTTAGATCAATAATTCTGTGAATCATCAACGAGCCACAGGCTTTTGAATTATTGATTGAGAGAATTTCATGCTCATTGCCCAGCTTCTAAATATGACTTGTGGACATGTCTGATACTGGCTCGGCTTGGACTGTTTTATTGTTGCTTTTTGCAGTACAGGTACGTACATGTAGGCAAGCATTTTGATCTGACATTTTGGTCATTCATCAATTGCTATTAGTTTTCCATCCATGTAGGTGAATTACAGAGCATTAACACATAAATGTAGATTTCTGTATGAAATTTATTTGTTTATGTATTTATCTAAATTGATATAAAAATGCCTGCCTTTCGCCACAAGCCTGTTTTTCAGCAGGGCCTGTACAAACTAAATCCTGTTTCATAAAACTTGTTATCAATGACAATTTAATATAACTGTTATAAGCTACTGAAATCATTGTATTTGATGGGCTGAGAGCAAATTTGTAATTAAATTTCAGGACTTGATGAGGTTTTTGCAACAGGGCTCTATATAATAAAATAATAAAGCAATTATTAATAATAGGATAGGATTGCTGACAACAAATTTCAAATCAGGAATCATGATCTGTATACAGGTAGGCCTATTTCAAAATAAGATTTAGAGACACCATAGCAAATTTTGCACAAGTCGGGGTATTGAAAGAGAGGTGACAACAAAAATAATCTATATCAGATATATGCATCATGTATATTTGTTGACCTGCATTAAAATTAGAACACAATTTTGAGGAAGGAATAGAGGCAATAGATTTACG